GAGCTTTTATCTAAGGAGACAGGCAGAAACGTACTAAAATCCAGAAATTAAAACAGATAAAACACCCAGGAAAAGCAATTAAAATGTGAAAGCAAAATTTCCATCTTCAAATAGTCACAGCAGATTTAGGGAAAATCTTTAGATTTGTAAGCGGCTATATGTAACTGTTTTCATTTATTTTTCCGTTCATTGTGTTTGCGCTTCGTAGAAGAGTGGCTTCACCAAGTTTATTATTTGTATAAGCGGAAATAAATGTAGATACTGTAGGTCAGTTTTAAGTGACAGTTCGGTGCTATATTTGTAAGAGCAACAAGATAAATTTACTATTTAATGTTTTGAATTGACAACTATAATCGTGTTTCTGTAATTGCCATCTTGATATTTCCTTGCATTCAGGCAGTCAGGCAGCGAAAACTACCTAAATAAAGACGTACTTGAAGATGAATGTCGATTGAGAAGTGGAAAAACGGTCCCTTTCAGATAACCATCACTTTCTCTCTAAGACAGCAACAGAAGAAATTTATTAAGTCAATTTGAATTGTTTCATACGTTTATGTCGGATGTACGAAATGTTTGTTACAATGCACATACAGCAATCTTTTACAGCTTTGAAGAACTGCATTTGTCTTGTTGATTCTGAGAATTACACATCATTTTGTGAGCCAACCCAACACAATTTTACGCCTCCGTTAAGGTTCTAAGAATTTAGGAACTTTAACGGTTTCCAAATTAACTGGTTTCACTATAAAATAGCAACTTTACGTTAACCGATCTGTCAGAGAGTACTTAAACATGTATTTGATTAAGAATAGGGCTGCATGCATTTTCAAAAAATATACATAACAAAATGAATGGACATTAAGGATACATTATACCTCTTGTTTCAAATCTTAGAATTAATGTCACTTATAATTAACCATCAATCATTTTTCAGTTTGATAAATTAATTAGCCTTTTCCTCGCATTTATAAAAGACAGGGTAGCCCAATGGGAGAATCCACAAAACGTTACATCAGAGGAAACCACCAGGTTATAATGGCAAATGAAAAACCCCTGTCAACATTTCGAACAAGACCAGGGAAATAACATTAAACTACAGGTCCAAGGCTGTCGGTGACCATTCATTGCGGAGCTTCAATATACCATATCTCTTATCTGACACAGAAAACTTTTAGTAATTGAACATTAATTCGGGCTTTTTATTAAGCAAATTTCGCTTTCGAGAGTTGTGCCATTCGTATTCCATTAAACAGATTTTTTAAAATTTAAATACCCCGCCGTCGCACAAACACGGGAACACGAAAACGCCATAGATTGAGTCACCATTAGCAAAATCACGACCGATTAAACCAAACTATTTGATTTGCATGTTTAACCAAGATCACGATTTGCCACGTTTAAAACACGTTTTGATGCCTATGCGCATTTTTGTTTTGTATCATTACGAAGCTCGAACGCGGTTTTAACCAACTGGACCCATTCTGCTCTGCTCAATAAGTATATTTCCTTCACTATGAAAAGTGAATTCAGTATGTTTTGTGGCTGGCATATGATAAGTTTGTTTTTCCTCTGTCTCTGGAAAGATAGTAATTCCAACTGAATGAAGTTGTATCGAAGTGAAGAATGCAGAGATCTGCCCTGGGCCGTGTCCTTTGAATAACCCTGAGATATGTGCCTGAGGGTGTTTATACAGCTTTACCTATATACCATTAGAATAAAACTGTAAAATCAAAACCCATCAAAAGTAACCTAATCCATCCACAGTCACTTTAATTAAATGGTATTTAGGACTAGTCAGATTCATCTGTCCAAAAAACTGAGGAGGTTCATAGCAGCTTGTTAAGACATTTTTCTCTCTTAAACATAACAGTTATTAGTCGGAGAAACGTCATAAACTAAAGTCCACACATGTTTTACGTGTGCTTTATCATTTGATTTGTTGGTAGGAAACACTGTAAAGGTCTGTGGCGTCATATTAAATCCAGTTCAGATTATATTTTAAGACAATGTCATTTATACTCGTAAGCATTATATAATGGTCACAGTGTTTAGTTCGTTGACGTAGAAACCTGACCACATTACGTACCGACAACCATTGTTAAAAATAAAACAAAAGGGAATAAAACTTGCAATCAAGATGTAGCAAAAGACTGATACTACATAAACCATAAGTGCATACGGTTTGCACCTACAGTCTCTGTTCCTGATTTTAATCAGCTGTGCATGACAAGCTCGCTCACAAATTATCTCGTCGATCTTCGTTCATCTTTCATCATTCTGTTCTACCTACATTTATGAATCAGGTAAATTAATTGCTTGCGGTGGAATGCCCGACTTTTAGACAAGGCGGATGTAAATTGTCAAACAAGAATTTGTGGCCTTTAATTTTACTACGCTTGCAAAGGGGTATTCACTTTGAGGTCAATGGCGCGTCTCTTAAAAATCAAAAACATGTATTTGCTCTCCTTGTAAGCTGTGCGCACCATACAATAGTGCCTATTTCCTCAAGACTGTCCCTCAAAACATCCTTTTTGTTGAGACAGTGGGAGGGATTAAAAACGACTACTTGTACAGGGGAGCCTTTTGACAGTGTGGAATAAACCAAGCACAAGTTTCTCCAACTGTACTGACATGGCGCTTGGAAATCAGTACTTGGGACATGTTCCATACGCTTTTTAAGCTGCGAGACACCAGTCAGGAAACAAAAAAAAAACATAATCAGGATTTTACATTTACCATCATATGTTGCCTCGAAGCACCTATAATGCATACTTGCTGGATAATAGCACACAATACTTTTCAAGGGATAATTACATGACTCCGCTGACAGCTTGACAATGACAGCTGGATTGTTCAGATTGTTCAGTTGTTGCTTTATGCAGCCAGTACAACTGTTTCCATCCAAGTTCAGTCTCAGGTTCGCTTGAGTAGGAAATGGTTTGTAAGTCTTATTGAAAATATAATTTAGCGCTACACCAGGGTGTTTTCAACATCCGTATAGTGTAGTATGTAGCATTACACTTCATTGAGCCATTCCTGACGCTTTATGTATTTAATTACAACTGGTATAACAAAAGCCCAAATAAAATATACATTTATATAATATATTATAGGGTGTATTATCTGCTGAAAATCATATGATGTACGGCGAATTAAAAACTAACGTGAATATAATTGCAAAAGAAAGCTAATTAATACATACCAAACAAGTGAAAGCTAAATTGGACATCACTAAGGTCTAAAACAAACATTATGTGCAAAAGAGTCTCATGTTCTTTTCCAGTCCAGTCTGTGCAGGTATGCTTGTATAATAAATATGTACCAATACAGTTACCTGTGGACAAGCGTTCGGCATCGATTACAGAAACGCAAGATCGTATTTAGGATAATGTCCGAGTCACTTGTATGCTCTCGTTTTATTCTTTTTTGGTGCCGACATATGTGCTGTTAGATTCGCAGCTGTGATGGGAACTACATTGCGTAATAACAGCGAATGTATTCGAAGGCATCATGCTATCTGTGAAATTTGTCTAGCACTCCCCTCCCCCAACTGTGCGCTACCAAATTTCATTTCCTGGCTGTTTACCCTTGTGATGACGTCACGTCCAGTGGCGTCGGCGAGGCTGGCCATCTCAGTGCATTGCATAGCATCAAAAGAGCAGCCCCCTATTCCCCAATTACATACTGTCAATCTGGGAGCATGGGGCAGCCAAACTGGGAATTAGACACTAAATACTACCCCACAGGGCAGGCCCCCTATTACAGCGCAATCAAGTGGAATAATACCAAAGTACAAGGCAATGTGTCTACCTGACACTGGCATATGAAGTAATGTACCGTCCCAGTGTCGGGATAAACACGTTTTATTCAGCTATTTAAGTTATTTCTGATTAATGATATAGTCTAGTTTCGCACAGTAAATGGTTACGTACGTGACTACATATGGCTGTCAAAAGTCATAACGAAATGATAGTCTCAGCTCTCCGCGCCCTAGTGAAATAACATTTAAAGAAATCTAGATCGAGAAAAGTTTTAACATTTTCAAGCTGAAGTGGGCAACACATTCGTTCCCATTTTGATGTTAAGACTGCGAAACGTCCCACAAGTACATCCACACCCACACAAAATTACACTGTAGTCAAACTTGCTAGATGACAGTCCAGCATCAGAGTGTAACGTGTGTGTCACCGCGAGAGGACGCACTGTCACAATTTTCATAAGAAAAAAAAAGTCGTGTTATAACCTGCTTTAGCCTGACAATTAAGCAACAGGCTCTACGAGTTCAAAGAATCTCCTCTAAACTTTATCCCTGCCGTATTGCTGAGAAACAAAATGTTTCTCAATCAATAGCCCAGTCATGTATTGTATTAATTAAACAAGCTGTTAAGAACACAGAGGTAAACGCATGTAGTGAAATGCTATTTTAATGCTCATGAATGCATCCAAACACAGTGTAAAAAGTCCTATATATTGCTATTATTACTTTCCGTTTAATAAGATTATTTTAATACTTCCTACTCTGATTTTTTAAATTAGGAATGCATAATTATTTCATAGTTACAGTTACTGAAATATATGTTGATACTTACAAATGCGCATTTCTAGACTGCCGTGTATGTAATGGACTATTACATTAAATATGATACTATTATATATGTAGTTAATTTACTTAGACACGGGGTATAATTGTATATGCATGTGGCATTACATATTATCAATGCCATTACTGTAAGCAGATTGGAACAAAACAAGTCTTTGGGAAAATGGTAAAAAAAATCAAGTTAGAATTATCCAACGAACTATATAAAGATGGCAGAAGAGCTGTCTAGGAAATATACACACAGAGGGTGCATTTGAAAAATAATTAGTTTTTGCAAAGACTTGTGCCCGTCCTTGGTCATCCTCTTCTGGTCTCCTTTATTCAATTAGGCCGTGCGGTGCTAGCCCCTCCCATTCGATGACACTGTAGACCCTCCTTAAGTTGCGTCGCGCCACAGCTGTCTGCATGCATTGAGCCGCCTGGCGCCATCCTGAAAGAATGCCTTCACTGTAAAAAAAACACGGAGAGTGAGCGAGAGCGAGCGACCGAGAGAGAGGGAGAGAGAGAGAGAGTTGCTGCGACGCATAAACACGCAGATTTGTTCAGTTTCAGCTTCACTCGAGTCAGTTAGCAGTGACCCATCTCTTTCGGGCAAGGTCGGTCCTACTGAAACAACTTGTTGAGTGTGTAGAATATTGCATGTTGTGAGAAAAGTTGAAAACTTAAAAGTGAATTGGAGACTGTGGGATTGTTACAAAGTTTTGTTTCGTTTTTTTTTCCCTTGTCTAGTATCGTAAGTTACTTTATACAACGGCGTACATTAAATGGGTGCTATTTCGTGTTGTAAACATTAGTTGTATATGTTTTGCGGACGGTTATTAATTAGGAATTACAAAAATTCGTGCAATTACAATTTAGCATGACCTTTCTAAATTGTTTTTTTTCTTTTTTTTTTGTCTACAGGTGACCAAAGACCGTTGATGTAAAAGAAGAAACCTGTGGATTTAACACTGCATGAGATTGGACTGATTTGCAGTTTTTTTTTTTACTGTGCTATTACTATTAAATTTCCTTGTGTATGAAAGTTTGGTATTAGCAATGGAAGTTACAGCGGATCAACCCCGGTGGATGAGCCATCACCATCCAGCTGTACTGAACGGACAGCATCCAGACTCACACCACCCGGGCCTCAGTCATTCTTACATGGACCCCTCTCAGTACCCTCTCGCTGATGATGTGGATGTACTTTTTAATATAGACGGACAAGGCAACCATGTCTCTCCATATTACGGAAACTCAGTCAGAGCTGTTCAGAGGTACCCACCTCCCCCACACGGTAAGCAATGGATTATTAAATTATACCTAAAATTAAGTTACTAACTTTCGCTGTCTTATGAAACCATAGTTACTGCTACTGTCTGTTTTCAGTTTCATATCCCCCTCTACTTTTTTTTTCTTTAGTGCATTCCTGCCGAAAACTAATAGAAAAATTTTGTTATCCAGCGCTTTATTAAAAAATTCAGGTCATGTAAAAATTGCAAGTTGCCTACCACAGAGTTTTGAAAGCTTACCACGGTGTTTTAATGTGGGTTATCTGTGACGGTTTTGTATTGCATCACTGCGCTGCATTTTTGAGTTTATGGCATAAAGTCCAACTTTTTAACGATTCACTCTGAAATTTAGAGAAATTCTCACAAGAATGCATTTTGTCTTGACGTGGATATAGTCAGGAAAAAAAAGAGGACCGAACCAAAAAATAAAAAAAGGTTCGATACTCGGAACAGCTGAGTGAACTTTTTAAATGCCCTCTTAGGGTTAAGTGACAATGACAAGTGCTAATTTCATTGAAACAACTAAGTTTCCGCAAAAATGAAAAAGCACATTGTTGTTTTGGGATTTTGCTGTATGCACCTAAGTTTCATTTTTGCTTGATTCAAAACTAAAAATCAATTGTCAAAGCTTTTGTAAAGAGTACGAAGAGCTCGGGGAACCGCAGATGCCGTTGAAAGGGCCATGTAGCTTTTTATTTTGTGAAGTGTGTAATTAGTCGTTTACTATTAATTGTTGGTAGACTGTTAAATGTATGCGGAAGGGTCAAAAATAAATAAAACTAGTTCTTGGAAAGAAAATAACTGCGGAAGAGCTATTGCTTAAATTTATTTACATTACTTCCTGAACGGAATTGTGATTCATGACCCCCTTTCTCATGTCGGTCCTGTAAAAACGTTAGTTTCAGTATCAGGCGACTTGGATAGATGCAAATGTATTTTTACATTGGTTTCCTTGAAAAACAAAAACAAGACCTCTTGATCGGTGGTAAAACGCAATGTATATGTCCACATTAGAAACGTTAATTTTCCTGGTCGGCTAGCCTAGGATTTAACAATTTGTTTCTAGATGTAAGCTTTTACCTGTAAGTAAAATGGCGTAGTATTTTTCTGACGAAAAGATGATTATTTAACATAAACGTTTCAATACATCCATACTAACACATACTAACCCCAGTAAATGCACATACACTCTGATATAATAATTAATATGTTTATTAAGAAACATCATGCTCATTTGGATCTGTGGAATGGGTTATTGTATTTAGGAAAAAAGAAAACAGAATGCTCATCACTTTTTTATTATTTCCGCTTAGTTTAAACCGTTTTTTTTCACCCACGTCTGCTTACTATTTGACAGTGCTCGTGCACGTAGGCAAAACACCTTGCGAATATGCTTCATTTTCGCGAAAACATTAATCTTGGAATAAATTGATGGCCATGACAGAGTGTAATACCACGATTAATAGTTCATAATGTAAGAAGCACAAATTATATTAGGACTGAGCATTTTTACATCGCCTCGACATACGCTTTCATTACTTCGTCATTCGTATCGTTTACTAAATATAGAATAACCTAAATACCTATTTTCCTATAATTTTCGCTTTATTAGCTAGTAGTTACCTCCTTTGATGATTTCCTGATGGATTACACGCTTCGATGTATTTCTATGAGGTATCTACCGAATTCACAGTACAGAAACGCTTTGGAAACCTCTAACAGTTTTCACCTGAAAAAAAAAAAGACGTGTTTTAACACCATTGCTTCGTTTTACTTTCAGGTAGTCAGGTTTGTCGTCCACCCCTTCTTCATGGCTCTCTGTCCTGGCTGGATGGAAGCAAAGCTCTGGGCTCTCACCACAGTACTTCGCCCTGGAACTTGAGTCCCTTCCCCAAGACTTCGCTCCACCACAGCTCCCCCGGAGCCCTCTCAGTTTACCCACCGGCATCGTCCTCTTCCCTGTCAGCGGGCCACTCCAGTCCCCACCTTTTCACCTTTCCCCCGACCCCTCCTAAAGATGTCTCGCCAGACCCGGCCATTTCCACTCCGGGCTCAAGCAGCTCCAGCCGTCAGGAGGAAAAAGAGTGCATTAAATACCAAGTAGCCCTGTCGGACACCATGAAGTTGGAGTCGGCTCACAGCAGAAGCAGCATGGCCTCACTAGGAGCCGGGGCATCATCTGCTCATCACCCCATCGCAACTTACCCTTCTTATGTCCCTGAGTACGGCCCTGGCCTCTTCCCACCAAGTAGCCTGATAGGTGGGTCATCTTCTAGTTATGGTTCCAAAACACGACCAAAAACAAGGTCTTGTTCAGGTAGGCGTGCGTTTTTTTTCCCTTAAATGTATATACTAGTCCTTTAAAAAAAAAAAACGTACCCTGTGCCTAACTGTTTTTTTTGCTAAGTCTATGTAATATGTGAGAACACAGTTTGTAATTGTTGAGATATTCCCTTTTGAAGGCAGGTTTGTTAAGACACTTTTACACGCATCATTTGTGCTTACGAATAGGCCAGGCCTAAGTTTGTAAAGGGTAAAATACACATCATAACATCATAACACTGCTCTTTAATGAAGTGTTATGGTCACAACAGTGTTTCTTAGAAAATTCAGGTTAAACAGGTACATCTGAAACAGCTATAGAAGAAGTACACAGATTGACGCGTCTTTGTAAAGCAACGGCATTATTTGTTGCCTAATGTGGCAAAATAAAACAAAAAAATAAAATCCACAGAAAGCTTAGATTTCAGATAATTCATTCTAAGTGAATAACTGTGGTTCAGCACACACAGTTTAAGATAAGTGTTAAGAACGGTTCTAAAATATTTTAAACTTCTGACAGTAAATGAGATACAGGATTGTCCATTTCTGCTAATTGTGGAAAAATCAAGGCCGGAGTTTAGAATCCTACTTATCCTGTAGAATCCATTTTCTGATATCGTACTTCTAAAAAGGCCTGTATGCCTTAACATTAGAATGTCAGCGTATATCTGAACCCTGTTAAAACACACAAACAAAGATTTGAAAACTTAACTTCCAATTGATAGTTTTTCGACGCAGTTTCTCTTAAAGCTGCTTGGAGTTCAATGAACTTAATTACGAAGCAGCAAGCTTAAAAAAAACCCTGATCGCCATAAGACTAAGTGTTCGGCAGATGAGATCAGTTTTCGTCTTTTCAGAATGACATTTTCTGTGACTGCCTGTGCATAGCCGTGTCTCTTTAGTTTATATGTTTTAGCTAATCCAATTATTTTCAGACTGCTGCACGCGACAGTTGCATTGTTTATGTAGCGCCAGTAACTTTGATAGAGTCCGGATGCGGTTGTATTGAAAGGAATAACGAAATAACCCTAGCCATGATAGGGCAGTACCCTTGGAGCTAAATTTTATATAAACAATATCCACAATAATTTAAAAGATATTCTTGAAATAAACCAAATATTGATGTCAAAGCTGGCCTCATTTACTGCACTAATACAACATTACCTTTTGACAACTTGTCAGAATAGGCCGATTGGTATTATTCCCCTGAGAGCACTTAAATTGAAAAGACAATGGACTTTGCAAGCCTGCATTTATGATTTATTTTTGCCAATAGAAATCCGAAAGGATGGCATTATAGGCACGGAAACACAGTCTTCCGTCATTACCATTTGCAACCTACATTAGACTAAATTAAATTTGATGTGATCTACAAGGAGCAGCTAAAATGTCGCACCTGATTTTTTAAGTAGTTCTTTCTTGTTGGGCTGTGTAAAAATAGCCTAAAAAAGAAACCTAGGTGGACGTTGTGGTTTGTAATCCTGAGCACCGAACACGATTTGCGAACACTAAACCTGTAGTATTTTTTAAACACTTCATTATAAAGGAATGTATAGTATTGTATTTCTTAAAAAAAAAAACACGAAGGATATATTTCCCCGTGTTCCTCTGATTTCTTTGCGTATCTTTTCCATGCCAACACAGCAGAAGTCAAAGGCAGTATATCTTGTTAAAAACGGTTCTTAGGTCTGCGGTTAAGGTGCAGATGCGTGTACCGGTAACGTGTAATATACTCTGAACATGTATGCTTTCAAATAATTTTAGTTCAAGAAAAGCAACCCGAGTCTTTTGTTTCAGTTTCAGTGGTTAGATACAGTAGCTCACAACTATAAGGCCTACCCAAAACAAGATCCCTGTTAATTAACATGTTAGAAAGATACTTGACATTTGTTCATCAGTGTGACCAGATTATATGTAGGCTATCTTAAAAGCAATTTTAAAGAGATCAGTAGGTGGGATTTGCGTAAATGAATTTAAATCACCATAGATTATTGAATTGTAATTTTGAGTAGATTATGAATTAATATTTTTCCATTTATCATTTATATGAGGTTTGTTTTTGACAGGATTATTTAGATACGTTTTAATGTCTGTTCTTGAATGAAGGTGTGAGAAGGAGGGAGGAAAAGAAAGAATATTAAGTTGTTTTCAGAAATAAACGGCTTTGAGCATGTAAATACCAGAGTCTATTATGTACTGAAAAGGCAAAAAGAAAAGAGCTAATATTTTACAATGTAAAATGCTTATATCAGTTTGTGCTTATGAAGGGAGACCAGTAATGTTATATTAAATGTTTTGTGGTGTTGTCCGACTGTTTTACACATGTGGAACTCAATAAGGTATATATATATCTATTTGTCGCAGGGGGAGGGGGGATTAGGTCTCTATAGCATGAAGGCTTTGAAAGAACGAATGTATTGTAAAATAGCTTAGAACATAATGATTGCAGGTTATTCTGTTCTTTGGGGCTAAATAATTATCAATCATGATTTTAATGTTATCGAACAATGCAATAGGCATTTCACAGAAAAATGTCATAAGCCATAATACTTTAACAAGAGAAACGCAATAGCTATCTATACATATATGTGCATATTGTCTTTGATTTCAGAAGGTAGAGAGTGTGTAAACTGTGGAGCGACTTCTACCCCTCTCTGGAGGCGAGATGGCACTGGTCACTATTTGTGTAACGCCTGCGGACTCTATCACAAAATGAACGGGCAGAATCGACCCCTCATCAAACCCAAGAGAAGGCTGGTATGTTCAGACACTATTGATAAAACACCGTTTCTTTCTCTTTCTCTACCCAGGGAGAAGTATTTACTGCAGGAAATTGGCACGCCAACTAAAGGTCTTGTTTCTTTCAGATCTGCAGATTTTTTTTCCATTAAATGCTTAAAGTTTATATTGTTTAATTTTTCATAATCATCCTCTTACAATAAAATAAAAACCATTCTAAGAAAGTGATCACCTTTTATTTCAGTTAAATGTGCTGGCTATTTTTAATGCACTAGTTACGCGTTAACGCAACCTAAGTTGAATGTTAACTGCTAATATCGCATAATCAAAGTGAGCAGGTAACTAAGTGAAATATCCAGCACACTATGATCTATTAATCGAAATAAATGAACATACTTTCTCGATGAAAATGATGAAGAAAAAAAACTACAACATCAAACAGTTGTTTGCGATGTTAATAATGGCCTACTGATCATATTCATCATCACCTACATAAATAAAATCCATGCTTTTTAAAATTCATTTTCATTTAATGCAGACCTATTCAAAACATTTTAAACAACGGTTTTGGAGAGAATCCGTTTTTATTTACTAATTATGTAGCCTTGCCCAGTGTTATTCCCAAACTAAACTCTTTTCTTAGATGCAGAAATTAATGACCGAGCCGTAATGGAATTCCCATCTTTCACAGCCTTGTTAAAAAAAAGGGAAAAAAAAACTTTCTAGGCAGGGGAATGTTCGCAAGGCTTCCATTTTGTCAGCTAGTATCTCCTCTCTCCCCTTTTCTCTAATGTGAAAACCCGACTTCCTAGGAAAAACCTGCCGGATATCTGAGCTGGGGAGATAAGTCTTTTTTAACAACATCCCCGCTTCCCCAGCCCAAACATTAAGATGACTACAGAAGAAATCAGAGCATGGACCAATGAGGGCGCAGGAGTCGCGACTTGAGATTGTTCTCATAGAACAGGAATTAACTCAGGTTGCTAAAACGAAAAAAAAAAAACGACCAAAACAGAAGAACAGGCATAGTAGCTGGAAAGTGTGCGTTTATTCGTTTTCTACCGCCACGTTTTGCCAAAACTAAACTATTAATCACCCCCCAAAACAAACAAACACAACGAAAAATTAAATCAGGAGATCGATAGCCTGTGCTATACCTTCATAGTGTAATAAGCGTTTTACGTTCTTGATTTGCTGTAATTAGGTGTACTGTATATCCTTTAGATATTTAGTTGCGCCACGACTTAGATCACAGCATATTTATAAAAAGTGTCAGAAGGCGAGTCTACAATGGACGTAAGCTACTGTTGGCTAGGTTTGATATGGTAACTCTTCAGGGTGTTAAAAAGTAACAAATCAATCAACCCTTCTTATCTTTGTCTTTTGTTTGTTTTCAGCGATAACTCGATATCTGCGCAAATATATGTGCTTAGCCCTTTTGAAATATTTTGCTACTTTTGTGTGAATGATTTCGCTTCTTCACCTTTTTATTTCTTTTTTATTCGTTTTCATTCCCCCATCATTTGACTTCAGTAGTATAATACATATTCCCTCTAATAGTTGAAACAATATTATGAATACACGTTTCCCTGAACTCTGGTCCCCTTGCATTTCTGCCTTCTTTTGACGAAGAGACAATATAAACGACGTGAAAAGCTTTATGAATACCGCAGTAGCAGAACAGAAGATGACAAATCAGTATGTTCTTCGCAGAGCATTAAGAACAAAAAATGTAAACTGTTAGAACGGCCTAAGCCTTTCAGTGCAGTAATGACAAAGTACACACCACTCCTTATTTTTGGCTGTAGCTGTTTGACGACGTAATTAAATAAGATTTAACAGATTTTATTTTAAGCTTCCGCTTTCATGTATTATATAAATGTTTACATTTAAAGATTGCAAGTATGAATATTTATGTTAAGACTCTATGTTTAGACGCAAATCACAGCGCTACAGCCTTTGAGTTTGGATTTCTCAAAGCTAGTTAGCAAGTTTTAATTCTTGATAACACAGAACGTTCACAGCTGTTTTTTATGTCTTTTTATCATTTTTTAATTTAAGATCTTAATTTGATTGCGTCTTTTGCTTTCTTTTCCAGTCTGCAGCTAGACGGGCAGGAACGTCTTGTGCAAATTGTCAGACCACCACTACAACACTCTGGAGGAGAAATGCGAACGGAGATCCAGTCTGTAATGCTTGTGGACTTTATTTCAAGTTGCACAATGTAAGCTTATACAGATGCTTTTACATTACAACAATAAGAAATGTACTAACCTATTTAATCTTTTGTGGATGATAGTTTGTATATTTTATTTTTGGTTCTGCCATGTAAATATTACTGTGCCTCTTGCTTAAGAAACATTCTTTGAAGTTAATTACCAATCGAAAGCCGTATGATTTAGTAAATATACGGAACACCGGTTCAAATGTTAAACACATTTATGATGCCAAGTAACAGCTGAACATATGTATGCATTTATTTTATTCTTCAAGACCGTCTATTATTAAAAGGATATAATCAAAAGTAAAAAAAGAGAAGAACGTTTGAGCAGTAATAACCATGTGGTGTTTGGGGATTATAAGTGGTTTCACCGCTTCCCACATCATATTTTCGATTCCTGCCTGCGAAATCTCCAGGGGCTCATCTTCTTCAGCTGATGTGTTACAAAGATCAGTTATATGACACAGGGGTCTCTTACAACAACCCTGTGCTTTGCATTCAAAAGAAAGACACCTAAATCAAAATAATAGCTTTGTGTTTGAGTTAGTACTTATATGATATCGGGAACTGTTGAAGGTTGAAGTAAGGGTAGTATTTGTACCCGAAGGGCTATAATCAACTTTTATCTGTGTTTCCTGTCGAAATTGCCATGTATAAGCAGAATTCGCTTTGGATTGCCTCGCAATTCGAAAGCTTTCAAATGATTTTGCTTTTAGTTCGGGTGATTTCGGAAAGATTTATAGGAGGAACTCATGGTGTCAATATTGAATAATAATATTGAATATTATTTAAGTATTTCTTAATGTTTGTGTTATTTCGAAATGAGAGATTTTAGGCACTTCGTAATTCTTCAGTGTTTTATAAAAGGTGCAAGAAGATTTAAATTTAAATTTAAATCTAAAGTTTTTAAATAAATTCCATATTAGTCCTCGTTGAATCTACGTACATGAAACGTCTACTTCAGATTTGCAAAATAGAAAAATGTGTACAAACACCTGTGTTCACGACTTAATAATAAGCATCATGGCATCTTGCATGTATCGTATGAGGGATTTTTACAAATACAGAAGAGAAAAGTTACATTAATACATTACAGGAAAACACAACTGCAGCTATATATCACCAGAGATGATAAAAACAAGGAGTGGAATTAAGAAGTTTTTGAGTACATAGAAGTGCATAATTCTACATACTACGTAAGTAAAGAGAAACCTTTAGCCATATTTACATGATAGTTGCAGCTGGTTCTCAGATTCCTTTCAAAATGGTATGAACTTTAAGGTAAAAGGAAATTCAGGTGGAAACTTAGAGAAACCCCTAGAGACATTGACATGGAGGCAGTTTCCAAGTGACTCTGTTTCAAAGCCCTTAGGACATAAATTGTACTCCTAAGAGATACCACATTAGGTGGAAAGGGAGTGTTTTTTCAGTGTAAAGATGTACAAATATCCTAAATATTGCAAAAAGATCTCAACCCACAAAACAACCATACCCAGTTCTATAATTTGAAAGAATAAAACAGGATATGTTCCGTGAGGTACTATGATTGTATTGGCCCTGTGGAATTCTGTGAAAAAAGTTTCACTCTGACAAGTTAGTTCCATGTTATTAATTTACATTATTACAGAGATGTAGAATCAAGAGGGATTTTAAAACTTTAATCTGTTTAATGTGGTAAAATTTGAAAATGTGTTGTGTATTAGAGCGAGCGTCAAGATACATTTCAGATGCTTTATATCAATATAATTGAAAGTTAATTAAATTAATTAAAGTCTGGTTTAACTGCCAAAAATGCCAGTTAATAAGACAGTTGTGGACAAAACAGTATACCTGAGAGTATTTTGAAGGTACTTGCAGATTATTAATTTGTGTATACAATAAAACTGGAAATTATAGAAGTGAAGTTAAGGCAGGAAAAAGAGAAGTACCATATGTGTAAAGACTATTTCCCTATGTTATACCTTCTTAAGATGACAAACGTCAATCTATATTTTTTTCCAGAATGTTTTGCAGTGGTTTTACATACCATTCAGTATTAAGAAAGTTTAAACAGGTATACAGAAATAAGAAAGGTCCATGTATGATAGAGTGGTCATCACAAAATCACTTCAGTCAATTCTCTTTGGCTGTGAAAAACTGTATTGGATAAAGCCGTTGCAAGATGGATGGATGGCTGTGTGAATATTTATACTTTGTTCAGGGGATTGTCACAAGTTTTGGCCAAATGGGACATATCTGGTATATCTGACATATTCAAAACCTGGTGGACAGACCTCACCCTGTTTTAGAAATAGTTTCAGCTGGAGACTTCTATTCTTACTGTATAAGTTTCAGGAGGCAGGATAGCAAATACAGTAAAGTATCTAGATGTTTTGTAATACATCTAAATTGTGTCTGACAGAGTAATGCTGGAATGTTTCAGGCAGGGAGGAGCAGCACTGACTTGTGTATGGCAACTTTCGCCCATATTGTATGCCATATTTAAGATTAATAAAATCTATAGTGTATAGTCATTTTCATACACTATTAACTTTATCCACCCTCTTTTATTATCAGTTTCATTATAGTACTGACCGATGATAATCAGCCTGGTAATCAGAAACCTTAATTGATCACTCACCGAATACGGCATAAATATCCAGAAAAACAAACTGGTGTTATAGATCTGAGATCAGGGCTCATGTATCCATGGCTGGTCCTGTACTCTGCCTGTGCAGCTGAGCCTTTTGTTAGCTGGGTTTCAAGAACTGGCCCGATATTAGGAAACCTGCATCTAAATCCTGGCTTACATTGATTTGGCCTGACATAAAGAATGTGGTTCCTGTGCAATTGAATAAGCTAAATTCTATTCCATAATGGACCAGTATTACACATCCTTGCTATCTTGTATAAAATTGGAAAATGGCTCATGTGGATTTTTTATTTCTAATAAGGTGCGAAGAGTGTTAAGCTTTTATTTTCCTCCGAAATATCATAAGTGGATCAAAACTGCTTTCTTTTTCCTCTCTTGAACTTGTATGGCTCATAGTGGGGTTAAAATTAGAACTGCAATGTTCCGAAGGCAAAATAAAATAGTTTGTATTAAAAGGGAATACATACTAACTATAGTCTGGTTTGTTAATCTCTAATGATAATATTTTGAAACAGTGTTTCTGAAACCATATCCCAGGCAATTTCTCCGCTCTGCAAAGAGCCCTCAATTCTAAAATTATTTTCTTTCCAATAACAGAAATTTAGAAATTTAGGCCTCCTTCTGAAAGATGTAGCATAATTGTCTGTACTGATGAGCCGCTTGAATGTTTTTTTAAAATAACCCATTCTGTATGTCCTTTGTCTCTTTCTGTAGATCAACAGACCACTGACCATGAAGAAGGAAGGTATCCAAACCAGAAACCGAAAGATGTCCAGCAAATCAAAGAAGAGCAAAAAGTCGCATGACAGTATGGATGAGTTCTCCAAGAGTCTCATGGACAAGAACAGCTCATTCAGCCCCGCTGCTCTCTCCAGACACATGTCCTCCATCAGTCACATTCCTCCTTTCACCCACTCTGGTCACATGCTGACAACTCCAACGCCAATGCACCCTTCATCGAGTTTGCCATTTGCACCTCACCATCCCTCCAGTATGGTCACTGCCATGGGTTAGACTGCTTGCAGGAAACTCACAAGATGAAAGCCTTTTTGTAAAGTGTATTTCTCGAAACTGAAAGCCTAAAAGACTGAAAAAGTTCTGCCCTGAGAAAGCTTTCAATCCTCAAAAACAGATACCACTCTTAACGGAGCTCACTGTGGTGTCTATGTATTCTCAACCACTGAATCTGGATTCCATTTGTGTATAAGCCATTTTTTAACCTTATGTAGACTTCTCACCCTGTTAAACAGGGCCCCTTGTACTGTGAAATAAGGAGATGAACTTTGAATATATTTGTACAAATTGTATGAAATACAGTACATTTAATGAAGACTTTTTAAAGGCCTGTGGGCAGCTATAAGAAGGGTACGAATGACTTCAGATGAAAACAAAAGGAAACATCAGAATGGGAGAGAACTGATAGGAGGCTACCTACACCCCCTCTTCATGAAAGTAGTGGACAAAACTGCCAGATCTGCTCATTCACTGGCGGAAGTTGTTTGATGCATTAAACTTGTAGACAGATCAATCATCCAGGCTGTGGGCCTCCAAATAGGAAGTACTATCAGTTCCAGGCAATCGGTGTTAACACAGATATTGCCAATAAGGATTTTTTGAAAGACATTTTCCTGGCCTACAGTATATGCATTGTGAACAAGTTCCTGTATTTGTTATTTGTATGTATAATTCAGAGTACCAAAAATATGAAAGAAACAAAGATGTAGAACTATTTCTTTATGTAATGCAGACTGAATGGTTGTATAAATTTAATAATTGCTAGTGTAAAAAAAGACTGCTTTTTGTTTCGTATTTTTTTCTTTCTTTTAAAATAAACTAGTTTAACTCTGTTGACCTGATGTTAGACTTCCTCAAAAGAATTTTATTTTTGTTTGAAGTTTAATAGATGGTTTTACTGGCACTGCGGTTTATGTTTTTCCCTTTTACCACAAGACTTCTTTGGTGGGTGTACAGGAAATACAGAAATACATATTAACACTCAAGGTCTCAAGTCCCAAACCCTGCCGAAGTGATAAAACCATGTCTTATGCTTTTTTTAAACTCATTTGACGAAGTGCTACTTCTATATAAAATGGAGTGATTAAAAGACTAGTTATAAAGTGTTTGGCTGGTGGGAGGAATGTGTCATTATCAATGCAATTTCCATATAACATGAAACATGACCCAGTACAATACTGAAAAGAGATTCAGATATCAGCTTGAATGAATATGTTAGCTTGTTGTCTAACTGAAATAAGTCCTCCTCATGGAAATTTCGGTCACTGAATTTGTAAGCGCTTTGAATATCCTTAGTGCCTGTAGGTGTGGTTGAATACGAAATTAGCAGAAGAAAAACAGATCTCACTCCACCTGTCTGTCCGACAGATTATTTGTCTGTCTGCCTGCCTGTCTGTCTATGAAATGGTAAAATAGTCATTACAGATATTTCATACTCGTAAGGCAAATTTGCCTACTTTGGTTAGAGTGGATTTTAAGTATGGGGTGACAGTTACCCTAAAAAACAAAATATATCACTAATGCCTTTCCTTTGCTGGTCATTTCATTTTACAATGTAAATACAGGTTTATAACATCACATTAACGCTACTTTATGCGAGGAGAGGAAACATATATCATCACCCTTCAAATGCATTCTGAAAACCTCATTGAAGAAAAAAAATGCCATATGACACCACAGGAGGAATGGTTCAGTGATAAATTCTTCCCGTGGACAAGTCTGCTATCCATGCAATTTAATAAGGGATTTGCTAATATAACGTACTTCCAGAGTGCACAAAACATAAGCACACATATCTGAATGAGTAGAACAGTTTAATTGTTTTTGGTAATTTGGTGACCTTATTTCTAATAAAAACAGGAACTGAGCAGTTGTTTTAACCTACCTAAATTAACCACATTGTGGTAAGAATATAGTGATGCTCCAGCAGTTTCATCCTGTGATATTTCATGGCTGCCATGCTTGTAAAGAATTAATATGTATTTGCAGCACAATATAATAAATTAATAAACAATTGAAATGAAAATCTTGGATGTTACATGTTGAATTCATAGGGGGAAAATGGATTTTCAGTGGGCAGGTTAAAAAGACAATCAGTTGTCTGTTAATTACAGACAGTTGTCAATTACAATTGTATAATTCTTTTAAAAACAGTACAGTATATGTCCAAAACATTTTAATTTGAATGCAATTAAAACACAAAAGCATCTATCCTTTCTTTGTTTCTTATACATTTTCAAAGGATTTTAAAAAAAATGAAATCAGCATTCAGAAACTAGAGCTCATATATATAAATGTTAAGATAAAGTAGGGCTAAATCTATTTTCCTTTGACTATTTACAAATTGCTAATACAGTAAATACTATAACCTCATTTATACCATAATCATCATCAGATAAAAAAAATCATATTCTAAACTGTATGTTGTGTTATGAACGAAGCTTAGTTAGGGTGAGCCAACAAGTACAGTCAAGTTTATTCTTGCAATCTGTGACATGTGTGCTCATGTTACTGTAATTTCTCTCAGATGAGCAATTCGCTGTTGATATTCATGGTGGTGATGTTGGAGTAGGGGATCAAGTTATTGATATATGTAAAAAAAACGATTGTAAAGGTCAAATGGCTGTCCCATGGAAAAAAAGTTAAGATATAAATACATCAGTTTGTTCTTGTATTTTTATTTCCCATGTTTGCTTGCAAAATAGTGTGTTTAATGGTGACGGACTGAAAAACATACAATATGTCTGTCTTGAGAACTACAATACAGTGTGTCTTTCCCAGTGCATGCCAGGAAACTGAGAAATTGTTAGTTCTGCTGTGGCCTGACTTGTCAATCTACGAACAGAACATGTGGACTCTGACAATGCAGGACAGAGCAAAAATAACTGCTTTTCACCTTTCTAAGATTTTTCAGTAACTGCTATAGTTAGTTGTTCTCAGGATAGTTGCATTTGTATATTTTTGAATTATTTGAAATTGTCACCCGGAAGAACGGATTTTGTAGAATAACCATTTGACTTTTTACTCATTCGCAAACCTTTTAAGTGTTTTTACTTGCAAAGTTTTCCCAAAATATATTACCTTTGGCAAAATTAAGTAATTGAAGTAACAGTTTCTGATATATCTGTATAGGTGTATGTGGATGTGATAGTGAATTATAGTATTGAAGAATACATGCAGCAGTCAGTTGTGTAAATTTACAAAGTGAACAGTAGTTTAGGAGTTTTTGAATTGAGACACACTGAATTTAAACGTTTTTCAGTCCTCACATAAAATTCCATCAAAAGTCTCTCATGAACTGATTAAATATTGATTACTTAACACATTGAATTCTAGCATATCTTCAGACCTTATTCCCAAACTGCACACTAATCAGTAGATTATCTGAAAGCATTCACATTGACTTTTTTGTCCTGCTTATTAAATTGAAAGTTTTTGGCGTTTCTTAAAACAGGAGCACAAACGCCAATTAGCAAGAAGCATGATCTTTGAAGGGCTCAGTTACCTTCTGGTGACCCTTTTTGGGAAATGTAGAGGAATCTAGAATCAGCAAGGCAGGTATATGGAGCCTCTGTGAACTCTGTTGACAGACAGAGGGGATAAATAGTGGCTGAGCTGTGTCACTCCTTCCCTGAGCTGTGATTGAATGCCTCAGGTAAGAGGCAGTGAGGACTGATTCATGATGATGCCTAACAATTAACAGCTGTATGATCAACCTTCTTTTTGTATGGTCACCTTTTAAAGAGGTCTGCTGACCACGAGGGTAGCTGTCTTCACAGCGCTTGTAAGCAGCAGGGTTGTATTCTCCAAGATAGTGGGTATTTTGGTAGGCCATAATTTTTCATGTCATACAATACTTCATTGAAAAGTTAAATAAAATCAAATTAACACAATAAGAGCAGCAAAATGCAATGCAGCCAAATGATCCATGTAGATTTCAGAATGTTTTTTATGAGTGAACTTGATTTTACCCGTCAACTGATGGAATTTGCTATAATATTTGAGAGCTAGGAAGCTATGTTTTGCATAACGTATTAGTTCAATGGCAGTATGTTTGTATTACTATTTCATGATAACCTTGCATGGGGTTGGTCAACTTTCAATGCCTTTTCGATTGTTAAAACACATGCATGCATCATTTATCTTAGAATGATTAACCTTTTATTACTATTATTACTATTGTTATTGACATGACCAAATTATACATACGATAAAAATATCTTGGTATTTTGAATGTCAAATAGTAATTTAATTGCTTTTAAGAGGAACTACACCTAATCTCCTGTTGTGCAGTGCAAATCTGAGATGAAGCGATATTGTGAAGTTCATTGATGTGTCATCAAAGTTGTAGAAGTGTTATCTTTTAAGTCTCCGACCAGCTGTTGCTGGTAAATATGAATCAACTTTGTTTCCAAATTGCTGACTTACTAAAGCATCATCAAACACAATACTTTGTCGATAAGTTATTCCACTTTTTCTACTATGTAGGCAGTACTGAAGCAATCACCGATGTCATTCCTTATCAACACAGAGTTGTATAAGTAGAGGGGAAATGCCTGAACAATCGCCACAGATTAAATAAACCAACCAAATAATCAACTGCTGGAAGTTGATGGTCCTCTCACCTTTCCTAGCTACAATGACATAAATTAAATACTTAGCATTTAATATAAACATGCAGAATGTGTGGAGCCAGCTCAGAAATTTACATTGTTATTTATATCATAAATAAACAGATAAATACGGTTCTTAATAATCCACAATTATTTGGTAACCTAACTGTGTAGACAGCTGTGCAGGTTAGGCTCCTGTTTTCATTGAAGTGTTTCTCTATGAATTAGGGTGATTTTAAGAGAAGAAGAACTGTTGCTTTACAGCTTCGTTCTTTGTTTATGAGTACAGCTGTCTATAGCAAGCCCATGTTGTGTATAAAACTATGTTAAGTTCTTAACCAGTGAAATTAATTTAGTGATATCTTAATGTGAGAGAATGAATTATTATATATTTATGGAATAACTTAAATGGATTACGTTCTTGAGTTGTGGAATTTCAGGGCTTTCGAAAGAAGCAAAAATGTGCTGACTCTTGGAAGGTTCCCCTTTAAGGCAATACATCTTTGCTATGTGTTGGTGCAGCTATACCCTCCTATTTCCAAAGGAAATTGCTTAGAAGAGGCATAGGCTCTTTAGTACACATTTGTCTCGAGACCCACACTAACGTTTTCCTTTCAGATTTTGTTTTCAGAATGTGTTGAGCATAAAGGTAACAAATAAAGGCTACAACACTCGAATGAGACGAGTATGAGATGTTAATACACAAGTTCTTTTCAGAAAATTTCTTATAATGGTAGATTTGTACTTTGCCTCTTTGCCAAAGATAACATTTTATGCTTTGCAGTCATTACAGTGCAAAATAATAGTGCTGTTTTGCTTTCCTTAGTAGGTAACATAACAAGAGCTAATATGAGGACTAAATGAACACTACTGCATTTTTTGTGAACATTTATCCTTCAAATAATGTACATGAAATAAGGTTGGGCTATGTCTCCTGAGATCAGTGACTGCACCTTTTCCTATCCATATATTCTGATTGGAAATTTAGAAGCAGTTCCTTCCTATGTTTATTTCTATTAAATCTAAAATGTGATAACTTTTTGTTTACAAAAATTATCACAACTGCATATGTCATTATTATCACAAAGTAGCACATGTGTCCATTTAAAGTGAAGGGTAATTACAAGAGAGAAGGGTAATTATAAGTACTCAGTCTCATAATTTACTTCCTTAGAGCCATGGCAACTGCTGTACTTCTCTATCTTTACCCTTTTCCAGACACCTCAAAATTAACATCATCTGATTACCCACCCTGTTAAACTGGATTTTTCTAGATTACTAAAAGTTTCTTTGGTCTCATTTCAGCTGACTCCAAAGCTTTTTGGACTGTTCTGACTTTGGAGGAAATGTACACTTTGTTATCACTCAACTAGTAATAGCTTATTTGGAGTAACGGTGGCACCTTTAACCTTAACCTTTATCCTCTGTAATGTACAGTATTTTAAGCATGTTAGGCATTTTAAGCCATCATCAGTTGGCTCAGTTTAGTCCTGATCACGATTATACAGTGATAGTTCTTGCTCAATGCAGATGGGCAAAGTCATTAAAGTGAAATTTCCGCTGACTGCACAAGTGTAAGGTTTCACAATGAGATGGAAGATCTCAGATAGTTAGCTAACTGCAACAAGAGAGCTGTTCCAGTTAACACAGAGGTCCATCCTTGCTGATTCCCTGATTCTAACCCATTTTCCTCTTGGCCCATTTGTTCAGTGTATTTTTGTCAGCATCTAGATTTGCCTGAAAAGAGAACTGTCATCCAATTCTTGAGGTTCCTCTTAATCTCCAGACCTTCTTGATCATTCCTGGATGTGTTTCTGGATAGATACATGGCTCCAAGGTCTTTTGGACTTAAGTTGCGTGGTCCCATTCATTGGTTGGCTCTTAAATATCTTTCCACACAGTTGTGCCACTTCTCTATCTTCCACTATTAACTCTTGATATTACCACAGCTTTGGTAATGACTCCACATACAGGATACCTCTATGATCATGTTGTTATTCAAGCATGCTAATTCCATGTTCATGTCTTCATTACTTAACCTGAAACTGTCCTTTTGTCTGTTTACAGATGAAGTCAAAACCTTAATGTCCAAAATACAAAACATTGCTATGAGTAAAGAGCAAAAGTCAATGTTAAATAAAATGTGATATGAAGGTTTAATAGAACACTTACTTGCTCCTTGCATTAATATGGTTCACAGAAACGTCTATTAACCAAAGCAAGCAAAAGTGCTATTACCCATTTGCAAAAATTAAAGTACTTTTATATAACCTGAAAATGAATTAATTGCAGAGTTATCTCGTATCTGCACTTCAAAGCAAAATTCACTATTTTTAAATAAAAATTCGACATTTACAAATTTGGTATCACAATACACAACAAAATAAAACTGACAGGCATTTCCAAACATTCAGCAACCCATTCACTTCCAAATCACTTTATCCGGTGTGAGGTCGGAGGAGAGCCGGAGCTGTTCCAGGCAAGCAATTGGTGTAATGAGGGATACAACTTGGATTGGACACCAGTCCATCTCTCCCCACATGCAGACAGACAAACACACACGCCCACACCAGGTCCAGTTTTTCCTTGAAGCC